GTGTATGTGTGTGTGTGTGTGTTTAGCTCTGTGACTTCTGTTTGGTATTTTCTATGTTTTTCATCTCTATGTTGAAGTTTGTTCTTTGTTCATCCATTTTCCTCCCCAGTTTGGTGAGCATCTTTATGACCATTACTTTGAACTCATTATCAGGTAGATTACTTACCTCTGTTTAATTAAGGTTTTTTTCTGAAGTTTATCTTGTTCTTTCATTTGCAGCATATTTCTGTTTTTCATGTGGCTTGACTGTGTTGGTTTTGATACAGTAGATGAAACAATCACCTCTCCCGTCTTGAAGGGGAGTGGCCTCACGTAAAAGATGAATGTTGTCATTCAGCCCTGCCGCAGCTCTTGGTTGTCTCTCAAATTTTTGTGCTTGTGCAAGCCGCAGTCGAGGATGTGCCAAGACCTGTCAGTGTCCCAAGGGGAAGATCTCACCTCCTGGATCTGGGTTGATCATAAGCCAGACCCTCAGGCAGCAGCTTTTAAAACTATGCAGATATATAAAGTCCTGTGGGTTAGTGTAAGCCTCCCTGGCCACCAGAGCTAGACAATCCGGACGTGTCCCTTGGCTGGAAGTCACAGAGATTGTGGCTCCAGACGTGTATCATGTACCAAGGCTCCAGGCGAGTGTAACTGGAGCTGGAGCAAGGCAGAGGGAGATGCCAAGATGGCATCTACAGTCTAGGTTCCTTGAGAGCAGCTACCGTATTTTGCTATGTATAATGCGCACCCATGTTTTAGTACTAATTCCCACGTCTAATTGGAATTAGTGCTACCCATGTGTAGTGCACATCCTTATTTTTTCCTCAAAAATTTGGGCAAAAAGTGCACATTATACATGGCAAAGTACGGTATGGAGGCCACTAAATGTGTGCCAGGCCCAAAGGCTCCCCCCTCAGGATGAAGCTCCAGGACGAGCAAAGAAGCTTTCTTCATGGCTGGGGTTGTCCATGGTCTCGACAGTGCCCTGGGGCACCCTGGGGGTTATACGAATCATAAAGGAATAGGGTAGCCTGCCCAGGATCATCTCCTTGATTGCCAGCCTTGTGGGACCCAAGAATGCAACTCCTGCCACCACAGCAAAGTGACCAAGGGGCAGCCCTTTGCAGCCACAAGAACCAGAGCACCAAGCATGCCTACAGCTCCCCTCCAAGAGACACTGGCATGCTGGAGCTCAGCGGGGGTGAGTGCGATGCTAGCGCCTGCGTTCTGCGGTCTCCGGAAAGGAGTGCATGCAGTTCAATTGGAAGCCTGCCCCAGGGGCTGCAGCCCTGGTGACTTGCCAGTAGTCCTTCACAGGAAGACCAAGCTCTTGGGTCTGTTCCCTCTTGCTGTGCTCAGGGGCTGCAGCTGTTCGAGAACTCTTTCCCTGTTGTTACACTCCAAGGGACCCACTCACGAGTGTAAGCCCCACTGGCCACCAGAGCTAGGTGATACAGAGGTATCGCCTGGCAGCATTTGCAAAAATTGGGGTGCCAGATTAGGGTATGAACTCTTTTCTGGGTGACTATGATTACTGTAGTCCCATGTGACCAGGAACACAAGGTCCCCTAGCTTCCAGAGTCAGACCATCAGGAGGCATCCCCTGTGTGACAGTTGTAAAAACTGGGGCGCCAGACATGAGGTGAGGCTCCCTTCCAGGAGATGCTGGTGTTCTGGAGCAGGGCAGGCTTTCCGTTTGCCCGGTGTGCAATTATCACTCAGCTAGCCTTTAAGGTTTTTTTTTAAAGAGGAAATTGTTTCATATGGGTTAAATGTGTGTCTGTTCAGGGTAGTGAGCTGAAGATTTTTCTAAGTCATCATCTTCTCATTGTGGTTTTAATTTACATTTTCGTAGTGACCAGTGACAGTGTATCATTTTATGCGTTCATATGCCATCCATAATATCTTTTTGAAGATGTGTCTTAAGTTTTTTGCTCATGTTTCAGTTTGTTTTATTAAGTTGTAAGAATTCTTTGTATAATGTAACCGACTGAGGCCTGATCTTCTCTTAAGAACACCAGTTGGATTGCATTAGAGTCCCTCCAATAACCTCAGTTGTTAACCTGAATCCACGTTACACACTTTCCTCCACTTTGCTTTTTCATTTGATATGTCCTGTGCTAGTGCACAGAGGGGTTCACCATTCCCTTTTACAGCTGCGGGTATTCTCTTGGTAGATGGAACATGATTTGACAGGTCCCTTATGGATAGTATTTGGGTTGTTTCCAGTTTTTGTTATTACAAATGGTCCTGAAATTAATAGCTTTATGCGTGTATCTTTCCTTGTTTTTAGCAGTGTTTCTGTGGGATAGATTCTGAGACACGGGATTGCTGGGCCAGAGGGTAAATTTGTGTTTCCCTTTTTGTGGCAGCGATTTTTTAAGGTACTTTCAAAAAATGCTTTTAACAACTTAACATTGTCAAGGAATCAGTGGCATGGTATTTTCAGTTTCTCTGACATTGTTAAGATTTTGTTTCTCTTTTTGAAGTTTTTTTAATCTGTAAACATGAAACTGTATGGTTGTGTGTGTAGTCCAGAGCTTTCCCTCCACTGGCGAATTGGGTTGCCGCAGTTCTGCACTGACCAGCAGATGCCGCTGTTGAATAAGAATGCTGGTGGGAAGGCTGCTGGACTAGGACGCAGTTTAGGAAGCCCTGTGCCTCTCCCTAAAGGGAGGGAGACACAGAGGGAAGTTCCAAGGGGAAACTCCACAAATGAAGAAGAAAGCCAGCTCCTTTTGGTGTATGATTCCATTAAAATGATTGGTGTAATTATTTCTCTATGTTGCTTTTAGGGCACCCTACTCCCATTCCCATTCCCATTGTCCCCCGCCCGCCTCTCTGGCTCCCCTATGCTCCTGTTCCTCTTAGCAAGTTATAACCATCTGCCTTAATCGGTCGTTTACTACACTCACTTGTTTTATTGTGTTTCCTTGTTCATTACCTGTCTGTCTTCACTAGAACGAAAACTCATTTAAGGCGGGGAACTTGTCTGTGTCTTCCACCACTACATCTCCACTCCCTAGAGTAGTGCTCGGCAGAGAAAGAGTATACTGGTAATTGATAATATGTTGTTTGATATTTGATAAGTGGTTGGCCAGTTCTAGTCCTATTGGCCAAGGAGCTATACCTGGCTTTGTGTAGCTCCTCAAAGCTTCAGCTGTGACCAAGATGCAAATATAAAGGGAAGAAATATCACCTGGAATTGAGTGCTGTTGTGATTAGAATTGTTAACTGTGTACTTTTCAATACATGAAACTATATAGCAAAGTAGAGACACACGCAGCCTTCTAAACCAGTTAGAGCACTATTTCCAGGGCAGTGGTGAAATATTTAAATTGATTTTTGTTTATAAGATTTAGGACTATTGAATGCTCACTTGCTTGAACTAGTATCCTTGGTCTGCATCTACTCTGTCTCATTAGGGAGACAGAGTTTGTTAAATATCAAACTCTCTAATTATTCCAGTGACATTTTATCTATTATTTTCCCATATTATTTCAGAGGTGGATTCATAGGGGGTTGTTAAAAGTTGCTCTGCGCAAAAGCATGTTGTTTGCTACTTAGAATCTGAAGCTTTTCTGAGTGATGATGTCAGCAAGTGAAGAAAAAGGTTATTAGACATGTCTCTTGGTGCATGCGTGCTCACGTGTGTGTTTGTACTCCTGCGAGGAGTTGCTGGGTCGTAGTAGGTGACAGCACCCTCATTTCCAAAATGGTAGTCTGCACTCCGCCCAGCAGTGCGTTTCCGTGGCTCCTGTCCCGGTGGACGCTTCTTACCGTCAGTTGTCAGCTTTCTAAACATCGGTGACTGGGTTATTCTGGTGGGGCAGTGCTGCCTCACAAGGATTTTAGTTTGCATTTCCCTGTAGTTAATGGGGTGGACGCCTTCTCAGGTTTTTTGACCGTGAGAGAGAGAGAGTGTGAAAGAGAAAAGTGCCTGTTCAGTTCTGGTGCTTGACTCTTCTTTTGGATTATTTCTATATTTTTATTGCTTTGTAAAGTGATCTTTAGAAGTTCACATGTTTGCCCTGTGTTGGTTATTATCTGTTGCAAATATCATCTTCCTCTGGGACTTACTTACCTTTTTGCTTTCTTAAATATGCCTTATAAGTTCAGATGACATTTCTTAGTGGCAGTTTATACGTGACAGAGCTGGGCCTTAAGTTTTTCATCAACTGCTAATTTTCAGTTGTTGAGCAGTGCCGCTGCTGCGGGCTGGTTTTGTACAGTTTCTGCCGTCAGTGCTCGAGCTGGGGAGTCTGTGGAGTCTCGCCTTCATGGGGCTCGGAGATTGCAGTGATGACCCCGACTGGCAGCTGGGCCGTATGGTGCTCAGTGCACTTGATTCAGAGTCAGGCTTTTGAAGCCTCAGCTCTGGTCACGTGTTTAATTTGTCTCAGAGTGACAGGAGATACCTTTCAGTTGAGAAATAATATACTGTGTTTGAGTTGTGGGCTTTAATCAAAATAACCAGCAGCAGCCCTGACTGGCTTGGCTCAGTCAGCTGAGCGTTGTCCTACAAAACCAAAGGGCACGGGTTCGGTTCCTGGTCAGGCACACGCCTAGGTTGCAGGCCAGTCCCCAGTTGGGGCACATGTGCGAGGCAGCTGATTGATGTATCTCTCACACACTGCTGTTTCTCTTCCTCTCTTTCCCCTCACCCTTCCCTCTCTCTGAAAAGAAATAAATAAAATTTTTAAAAAATATATCTGGAAAAAAATAACCAGCAGGAGTACTTTGGAAAGACAGTTAAATCTTTTTGATTGTTTCTTCATTTGTAAAATGAAGGGGTTTGTAGCTCTAAAATCCTGCTTTTTTGCTGGTATAAAGAACTGTTCACATAGTCTTTATCAGAAATGTAACTGGAACAGGAATCCACTTTTTACAAAGAATTTTGATCTGCTAATATGTATACTATGTAATTTATAATTTGTATACTTTTTACAGTTTTGTTAAAATTTCAATATAATATTCATTCTGTTTCATAATGGTTTTACTTTTTAATTTTGTAGAATTGACACTGAATCCTCCGGAAGGAATTGTGGCAGGTGAGGTACTAAAATTAATCTTTTTCTAATTTACTTCTAATAGTAAAGTTGCCTTCAGAGTGACAATGTGGATCTTTTTCTATTCCTGCAGGCCCCATGAATGAAGAGAATTTTTTTGAATGGGAGGCATTGATCATGTAAGTTAATCATACATGTTGTTAGTCTTAAGACTTCGCTGGAAATTCGATTGGTGCATCGCATTTGGCGATGCGGCTGTGCCCAGAGGTGTCGATTAGAAAAAGGGCCAGGTGTGTCTCAAGTTCAGCTCCTCTCTGGTCCACTGCTGTCAGGGCCACAGATAACACAAATGTCCATCGAGAAGATGTGAAAGTACTTCCTTAGCACCAGTAAAAAGTTAGCGAGCATTATGTGTTTGTAGAGTTTTGAAATAACAAATGTCAAATGTTCTGTGCTGTGCTGAGTTAGCTTCCAACAGCAGGCGTGGCCTCGGCTTCAGGAAGTTCTGGGAGCTGTGGCTTTGAGGTGGGAAAGGCTCCTTCATGCGGGGGTCACCACCCTCCCTGTGCACCAGGACTGGAACCCCTCCCCCTTCCTCTCCTCCCCGCCTCTCCTTCCTCTGTGTGTCTGGTCTGGCCTTCCACTGCCCCCGACGAGGAGACATGCTCTGTTCTTCTGGCCTGACCAGTGCTGTTCCTCCTACCCCATTCTAGAAAGATTGTGACTGGATTGCATGGTGTGTCCCATATGGTGATGTTGCTTAAAAAACAACAAATAGACCTCTGATTTTAGAGTCTTCTATGGTGCTGTGACCCAGGCTCTTTCTTTGTCTTCTTTTTACCTTAGATGTGCAATTTTCAGCTATTCAAGAAAATGTGGTCAGGTAAGATTTAGGGAGTTGAACTTTATAATCAGTCCCTAAGTTTTCTCATTGGTGACATGAGGTCCCTTTGGATGCAGTGCCCCAGTGGGGAGGGACTGGCAGAGGGGTGAAGTTACTGCCACAAGTGTGAACTCTGGTTTCAGGATGTGGTTCTCACTGTCATCAGACTTGCTGGATTCTCCCAGTGCTTGTACGCCATTAGTTCCTAGTCCTTACCCGTTAGTCTGAGAAACAAGTTGCTGCCAGCTGTTGCCTGTGAGGTGAGATTAATGTGTGGAAGTTGATGTGAAGGTGAGTTGTTCGAAAAGCAAAACATTTTAAAAGTCAGTAAACAGGCTCCAGAGAGAGTATTTCCTGATCGTTTGTGCTGCCGCCATGGCTCGCGTCCGTGGTACCCACAGTTCCCTGGGTTTCAGTGTTTCTGGTGTGAGGGCCTCTTGCAGCCTGTGTCTGCATCCGTGCGGCGTTGAGTCTTTCCCCTGCCGCAGTGAGAAGTAGGTCGAGGGCTTCCTGTCAGAGGTGTCCTGCATGCCGTGGGCTGCAGCACTGTGCGCTTCAGTTAGTGTAGCTTTTTAAGTTTTTAAAAAGATTTTATTTATTTATTTTTAGAGAGGGGAAGTAAAGGAGAAAGAGAGGGAGAGAAACAGTAGTGTGTCGTTGCCTCTCATGTGTGACCCCCACTGGGGCCTGCAACCCAGGCATGAGCCCTGACTGAGAACTGAACCAGCGACCCTTTGGTTCGTGGGCCAGCACATGGTCCACTGAGCTGCACCAGCTGGGGCTGTATTTTTGAAGAAACAGGAGATTGTGCTATAGGAACTTGCTGTGTTCCCTGCTTTTCTCATTTACTGTTTCACACGTATTCCTTGGTGCTCACACGGATGCATACATATGCCACCAAGCGGCAGCCTGGGTCGCAGGGGCAGATTTTTGGAAGGCCTGCCTGAGTATGGAAGTCCTGATAGGCCTTTCGTCTCTGCAAGATAATGGCTACGCACAGCCAAGAGACTATTTAAAAGCCCGTAAAGGGACACATGAGCCTTTTACTTTGGTTTTTTAATAGTACTTATTGTTAAAAATCTGTTAGGGTAACTATTACTAATTTTATACAAACAGTATAAAATTAAATCAATATTTTGAGAACCTGTCTTAAAAAGTTATTAGAGCTATTTTCTAGGTAGAGCACTTTTGTGTTTGAATAAGGCTTTTGCTTTAGTGCGGAATTCCCCGGTTGCAGAATCTGGTGAGTTTGTGGGTTTTGGTCCTGTTCCAGACTCTTTCACAAACAAGAGGCCGTTCACCAGTGTGCTGAAAACATCTATTAAGGAATTAACTGTCCTCTCACTGGTTCGGCTCGCCCTCTTGTCTCGGCAGACAGCTGGCTGAGTTTCCCTACTTAGCGATAGGTTCTCTTCTCTTTCTTTTTATTCTTCGACCATTCCCAGAGTTTCTCCCATACCCTAGTGTTTATAGAAGCCACACTTGTCTCATTTTCTAGAGTCTGCAGCTTACCTTTGGGGCCTCCATTTAGCTGTGCCAGGAAGAAAACATCGTTTCACATGCCCCAGACACAAATGCCGAGCACCTGCTACTAGGACCATGTCCGCTGATACAGGCCTGTCAGGGGCGACCCCAAGTCTCCACCCTGAAAGAACAAGATTGAGGGACTGGGGTGGGAGCGCAGCACATTAACGAACAGGGAAGGATTAAAAACAGGAGTGCCACAGCCTTTTCTCTAAATCACTCTCAGGACTCTCTGCTGAGCTGATGTTGGTTTTGGAGCCTACCACTCAGTAGGAAGGGCAGGGGCTTCCTGGCAGCCCCAGGGAGGTAGGCTGGAAAGGCCGTATGGTTGCCATGGCTTTATGGTCTTGAGCCAGTCACTGCCTCTCTGACCTTCACTTACCTGGGTCAAAACATAGCAATGCAGCATCCTTATAGACTTGCAGTTTGATGTTTCAGAGTCTCTGGCTTCGTGACCTTGCTGGCCCCAGCCATGTTGTGGGAGCCGTCTGAATCCTTTACTGTGGGGGGTGGACATGCTCTTCCGGAGCCCTTTGGCAGGACAGAGCTCTATGGAGCAGGACAGCTGTTTATCCTCAGTGGCTGGAAAAAGCATGAAGTCCCTTGGAATTTTGCTGCCTTGTTTCTGTCTGGCCCCAGCATCCTCGAAGCAGCTGGCAGTGGGGACATCCTTGCCTGGTCTGTGGCCTAGCTGCTGCTTCCTGTCCAGACCAGGGGCATCTGTTGACTGTGGTAAAATGACACAGTCTTCCCCTTCCTGAATTCTCGGGGACCTCAGCTGACTCGCCCCCATGTTGCCGTAGCGCGTTCGGGGCCCGGCTGCGTTAGGGCGGGCGTGAGGATGCCCAGGCTGTTGTTTCTCTGGGGCTGTGCGTGGCTTACACCAGGTGTGAACATCATGGTCACGGCAGCCACCCTTACTCAGGCTTTCTTGTGTCCAGAGCACTGTCACAGAGCGTCTCTCATGGGTATTGTGCCCACTGAAATAAACTGAGATGCCCAAATAGGCATTTACAGTGTGTATCCTATGCTCTGACCCAGCAGTCCCAACCCCAGGAATTTCGTTCTTAGAGGCGCCGTGCAGGTCTCGTGTGAGGATGTGCCCTGCAGCACCGCCACGGTGATGTGGGCACGTTGCGGTTTGGTGTGATTCACGGCCATCTGTACAGCCGGATGCCATGTGGCTCTGCAGAGGTTCAGGCAGAAGGACACACTGGCCTAGAGCGGTGTCTCCAAAGGTTGTGGACAGAAGGAGCAAATTAGGGAACAGCAGGCCTAGATTGGTGTTGTCCGCTGGGGTTGGTTTTTCCCCCATGGGACACAGGTGGCAATGTCCAGAGACACTGCTGGTTATCACAGCTGGGGAGTAGGGGACTCCACTGCTGGTGTCTGACGGGACACTGCTGAGCACCCTGCAGTGCACATGGTGGCTCCTGCACTCGGTGTGGGAGTGTCTGGCCCAGACGCTGCCTTGCAGAGGTCAAGATGCCCTGGTATGGCATGTGGCCTTGTCCCCCAGGGTCAAGTTTTCCACAGCTTTGTTGATATGTAATTTACATGACATAAATTGCCCCGTATTAAGTGTACAAGTCAGTGACATTCGTAAATATGTGTCTCGTGGTCATCTCCATAGTCCAGTTTCAGAGCATGTCCAAGAAGGTCCTCATGCCCGTCTGCAGTCAGTCCCCACCCCCACCTCAGCCGCAGGCTGCTTCCGGACTCGATAGATAGATGCCTTTTCTGGGTTCCACTGCAAAGTGGAAGACTTCAGTGTCCTGCACGATTGAGTTCTTCCCCTGCGTTGCAGAGTGTTAGTGGTTCTTCCCTTTGTGTTGCCAAGTTGTGTCCCAGCTGTGGGATGGGCCACGCCTGGTGTGTCCACTCTCCGGCTGACGGACACTTGGGTGTCACCGGGTTTGGGCTGCAGTGCTGCTCTGAAGTGTCCGTGGACCTGCGTTTCCGTTTCTCTCGGCTGGACACACGGGAGTGGAGTTGCTGGAGGGCAGAGGGGCTCTGTGTTCAGTGTTTAGGAAACGGTCCAGCTGTTTTCCACAGTAGCTCGCTCTGCATTTTACTTGTCTACCAGCAGCACGTGAGGGTTTTCATTTCTCTACTTTTCCCCTGACTTGGAGTTGTCTGGTTCCAGCAGCCCTGCTGGCTATGAAGTGGGGCCTCACTGTGGATTTGATCTGCTGATCCTTGGGGAATAAATTTGTTGACTCTGCTGTGACATTGGCATCCTCATGGCCTGCCAGGCTCTACTGGGGACCCTTCCAGAAGAGGAGAGTGTTTATGAAGTGGTGTGCCTTTCCTCTCTGTGCCCCAGGTGGTTATAGAGCATAACTGTCCCTTAGTGATCCAGTACAAGTTTAAGTACTAATGAATGGGTTTACAATCTCTGTTATTTAAACCCTTGTCATATGTATGAGGCATTTGTATGTGAGCTGTGACAAACCTGAAAAGGGAATAGCAAAGACAGTTTCTTCACCACCTGCCGCAGCTGGAGAGTCGTGTGGGCCGAGGTGCTGGGACACGCCTGAGTGCAGGTGGCTCACACCAGGTGTGCCGAGCTCCAGCGGAGATCAGTTGTCATGGATGGCATGGAATTGGGGTGCTGGGGCTCTGGGCGGTAGCAGCAGGCAGCCGTCGCCCGCATGGAGCAGGCACTGTGAACAGTGGTTAGGGTTAGACCTTGGTATTGCTCTCAGTTTTTGCTCCTTAGCATCCAACTCACCTGAGCCAGTCCTCAGAGAGAGCGATTTGGAACAATTTCCTTTACAGAATGGAGCGCAGGTATTTTGTTTTAATACCTGTCTCAACAAATAGATAAGTACTTGTCTCAGCGCTCTGCATAATTCAGCCCATTATTTTAATCAATAAGATGGAAAATAATTTTCAGGCTTTGAAGATTATATATTTGTCTCAGATAAATGTTTTGTTACCTTTTTCTTGTACATTTTTTTCCCTTAAGATTTTGAGATGAGGCCTTCAGTGCAGGAGAAGTGAGGCTCTCACTTCTTTATTACTTGGAGGATGGCACTAAAACTTGTCCAAAAATAATACTAATTACGTCTCCCTCTCTTGGTTCAGGAATGTACTTGCTGGTGTTTCCATCGTCAGCTGGCATGCCACTGCCCATGTGGGCCCGGCTGCAGGCTCGTCCCCGGCGCCCAGGCCTCTGGAAGAGACAGGAAGCCTGGTTTTAAACCAGTAGCCAACCAGAGTGTTTGAAAATGGCTTTGATATTTAAGGTGTGGGAGCACTTTAGGAAATGTTTGATCATGTTTATGAGGCTGCAGACGACCCAGGGGATTTATTTATTTTTTTTTTAAATTTTAAAGAAAGCACTATTATGAGAAACAAAGAACTGTTATCAAAGTATTGAGCAATTACCATTTGGCTCATTCCAAAAACATTACCCAGACAGACTTTTCTCTACTGAATCAAGGTGCCAGAAAGATTGAAGCACTGGCACACATTCCTGACATAGTAACACTGTTGCTTTTAAAGATAGCATCTCTGTTTGCGCAGCCTCTGGGGTAGCAGTTCGAACTGTGTTCTCCTAACTCCCGGACTGAACTGATTTAGAGCCTGGGCCAGTCACTTTATCCCAGCTTTGCTTAAGTGAAAGCAGCACTCCTTACACCTTTCATCAGAAGGACATGTGGAGTTAAGGATGGAAAGGCACTTACCATCTGCTTTGAGTTCTCCTGCTGGAAAAGAAGTGTGGGTTGATTGGAAATCTCGTGCATGTGTGTGGGCTATGCTGACCCTGTGTGCAGAGAGAAGGGCTTCCAGGGCATTCATTTCATTGTTCGGGAAGAGTACAGCAGGACTGAAGTGCCCGGTGGTGGCCTGCAGCCCTGTCCCAGGCTGGCCACCCTTCCCTGCAGTGCAGCTGGGCCACCTCTCTTCCAAGGACCCCGCCCCCCACGCCCGCCTCTTCATGTGGCTTTCCTGTCCTGGTTTCAGGCCAAGGCTCTGGGCGCTGTTGTGCTGTGACACCCTCCGAAACAAAGTAGCTATTCACTGTGGCTTCTCCCAAAGTAGCAAAGACACAGTTTTCAGAACCAAGATTTGTCTCTTACATTGAAAATATTTACCTCTACTGAACACTTCCTGCCGCATTCCCATTTTGACCACTTTACTGCAGCCCAGCCTCCCAGGCTAGTGACCCATCCTGGCTCTGCTGTGGCGGTGTCATGGAGAGCCTGAGTGTCAACATCAAATGAAAATAGAGCTCTGTTTAGTTTCTTTTTGAAATTTTGTCTTTTTCCTTTAATTGTGGAAATAAATATTGTTTCTACTATTTGCAAATTCATATAAATTTTTAAAATTTCACTGAATCAAAATAATTTTATTAAGACAGAATAAACTTGTACTTTTAAACAATTCTAAAAATGTATGTAGATTGTTTTAGAATTAATATATTTTAATTTTGTTCTTGTGCCATGTCTTGTATTTATTGCATTGGCCAAAAAGTCTGTTTAGTTTTTTCCTTAGAATAAAAGACCCATTTTTCATTATAACTGGTAACTTTACTGATTTGGATATTGCGAGTGTGTCAGCCGTCTCCCACGTGGTATGACGTTGATTGTTCTCAGCTAATGTCTCAGTGTGATCGCTGTTGACTTCAGCTGGTCTTCCTGACTGTGGAGCATTGTCTGACGAGAAGTCTCCAGCGCAAAACTTCACAAACCACCTTTGACACGTTCGATCACTCACAGCACCTTCTCTATCCACTGCACAAATCTTTTTTTTTTTTTTTGCATTTCAGTTGCATTTTTATCTTTCTTGAAACAGTAAAGCATAATATGCCGACAATGTTGCGTATTTTCTTCCATCTTCAATATTAATATGGCTACACAAAAACTCACCAGTTTTGAGGGTTTTTTTTAAATGCATGCTGATATGGCAGCTGTCACAATACTGTCTAACAAAATTGTTTTGAATGAAGTTTAAGACAACTAAACCATCATGTGGAAAAAAAACTGAACCACCTTTTTGGCCGACCCAGCATTTTGAGAGGCAGCAGCAGGCCTGGGCAGCCAAGGCTGTGGGCCCTGTGGCGGCCCTCACTGTGTGCAGAGTTAATGCGCGCAGGCCATGGCGTGGACAGAGCCAGGCAGTCCTGAGGCGGCTTCCTCTCAGTTCACAGGAATGTCGTGGGATTTCTTTTCTTACTCAATTGCTGGGTCACAGCCAGCGTGGTTGCTGCTCTTGTAAGTCTGTAGCTGTCCTTTGGCAGTTCTGTTTTCTGTCAAAGTTTACACAGGAAGGATGGTTTGAGATGGGTTCATTACCTTAATGCAGATTTTGTAGCCATCCTTTGTGTGGGGTGGGGGAGCGCATCTCAGTTACGGTGAGAGCGGTGGCTCTCACTCCCCCTCTCCTGCTGGCCAGTGTACTGTACATGGAGCAAGAGGGCACTTATTTGTGCTTGTAGAGTTTTGAAATGTGGGACTTTGAGAAGTGGTTTACTCCATTTCTGCCACTTTCCACACGAGGCGTTGGTAAACCCAGGCAGACAAGGCATGCACGTGCCTGGCGACAGTGAGTGCTTAGGTGCCCGTGTGGGTGCGGGTGTGGCCCCGAGCGTAGGCCCGCAGATGAAGGCGTGCTTGCAGCGCTGCTGCGTGTGTGCACGTCTGGGCTTCTGTGGGGAACCCGGCGGGGACCACGCGTGTGCTCTTTACCAGTTTCTGGAAGGTTACAGAAATTTTTCCTGAGGTGCATTTATAAATAAAAAATAGCTTGTGGAAAACAACTCTCAACCCCTTATTTATTTGCAACAATAGAGTCTTGCTGTAATGTGCGCCATAATTTATATCCTCCTCCTAAAATGTAATTGCACCACATACTCAGAAAGGCAAGGTCCTTGGGATCCTGCAGTGCTGGCCTTAGTTTTTCCTCTGATCCTATGAGGGTGGAGGTTCTGCTGCTCCCGTTACCTCTGTTGATGTAAAACCACCTGTAACTATATCTTTGTGCTTGTACCTAAGATTTAAACCCGATTGGAACAGGACGGTGAGACATTATTTTCCATTCAGAAATAAGTAGCTATTCATCATTAGTATTTAGATAATCTTTTCATATGCAACAATGTAGTAAAAATTCCCCAAACTCATTTCTAAGTGTGCTAGACATTGGGAATATCTGCCTTCAAGTCCTGTGTATTTTACGTCTTCCAGGGGCCCAGAAGACACTTGCTTTGAGTTTGGAGTGTTTCCTGCCATCCTGAGTTTTCCACTTGATTACCCGCTGAGTCCCCCAAAGATGAGATTCACCTGCGAGATGTTCCATCCCAACAGTAAGTGCTTTCAGGAGTCATCATCCTGAGTGGCATGGGAGGGGCCCAGAGAACGTGTCACCACACTCGAGGTGGTGTCCGTGAGCAACCCAGAGCGTTGGAAATGTTTTTATGTGCTGCATTTTAGCCACTTAATCACGGTGGTGTTGGTCGGTGGTTTCAGTTTAGGAGGGCAGTTTGATGTGGATGGAAGAGAATGTGGCCCTCCAAGGAGATGCCATTCGAGCCGGCGCCCCGCTGGTGGTACAGCTGTGGGGAGTGTGCACAGAGAGGGTCCCACGGGTCCTCACTGCAGCGCTGTTTGCCATGGGGAAGTGGAGAGCGGCCTAGGTTTTCAACAACAGCACGAGTTGGGTTGTACTGATTCATATGCTACAGTACTGCATAGATATTTAAATGATCTGGGGAGTATTTAATGATGAGGGATGGTGTGTGTGCTAATTCAATGAGAAAAACAGTTTATAATCTGTAAGTTATAATTTAACTGGAAATGTAACCCAAGAATGTTAAAAATGATTGCCTTTTAGTGGTAGGATGTTTTTCTTTTTGTAAATTTTTTTCCTAAAATATGTATTTTAAAAACAGGAAAAAATAAGGTCATTTAAATAAACTTACTGTCCTTTAGTTGGAAAAAGTGTCTAGTAGCAGGGATCAGAATTCCTGAATGGCTGCAGTTTTTATTTTTCCCTTGTACAGGTGACGATTATAAATAAGAGAATTACTAAGGAAATATGTTGTTTTCAATGATCATGTTTAAAATAATGTTTCTTTTTATAAATGATTTTATTTTCATTAATCATGTTCTTAATAGCTGTGGCAACACAATGAAATATTTACCTATTTGAAACCAGTTTCTTTTCCTGTACTTTTTTACACATCATTAGAGAATTTAGAGAATGTTCCTAGTTTTTGACTTCTCTCTCGGTTTCCAAATGAACACACGTGACACACCATCTCAACACCGGCCCAGGGCTGCCCACATGGTGGGCACGCTCTCTCCTGTGGGACTTGCTGCTTAGACCTCCTTTAGGGATTTGTCCTTTACTGCTGGTGACAGTGGCCAGTCTGTACCTTTTCTTAGCCCAGCATCAGCTCGGCTCTGTGTGGGGTGGGAGCTTGGAAGTGTTCAGACCGTGGGGGCTGCCGGCAGTGGGGGCAGCTCGCGGGAGCTGCTGGGCGTGGCGGTTGAATGGGGCATGCGCGCGGCGTGACCTTGCTGTTTGAAATAATACTAAGTGGTGGTTTTTTTTTTATAGTTTTCAGATATATTTTTATTGTACCAGTAGTGAGTCACATTTTGCTTAGAGATCTAACAGGCATTTTTCAAAGAGACAGTGTAAGGAAGGGAGGGGACACGGGTGAAAGAAGACCTCGAGGGGGCTCAGAGGTCACTCACCCAGCAGTTTAAAAATATATCATGGTCGACGGAATGGAGTTTCAAGTTGATTAATGGTAAAATGCAACTTATAAAGAGGACTGTGGGTAATTAAAAATAAGATTTTACAGAAGATAAGTGGTCTTTAGAACACTGCTTATGACATAGTGTTAGAAACAAATATGACCGATGAACTGATTAAACTATTAAACCATGTGAATGTACAGTAGGAAGTCTGATAATACTATTTTAATTTTCAGATAATTAATACAGCTTTTTAAAAAAAGATTTTATTTATTTACTTTTAGAGAGAGGGTAAGGGAGGGAGAAAGAGGGAGAGAAACATTAATGTGCGAGAAATGCATCAGTTAGTTGCCTTCACACCCCCAGCTGGGGACCTGGCCTGCAATCCAGGCACATGCTCTGACTGGGAATCGAACTGGTGACCTTTCAGTTTGCAGGCCAGCACGCAGTCCACAGAGCCACACTGGCCAGGGCACATACAGCTTTTAAATTGAGCCTTACTATAAGTGGACGTGTGCTGTTTTTATTTTATAAAAATTATTTTTGAGTAGAGCTATTAGATAGGTCTCACTATAATAAAAATCAGTCAGTCCATAAATATTTTAAAAAATAGTTGAACGCATTTACTGAGTTGCTAGGATGCAGTGGTGAACACATAATAAAAGGTCGGGGGCTGGACCGCCAGTGAGGTGGGGTTGTTCCCTGCAGAGGTGGTGGCCAAGCTCAGTCTGCAGGGGAAGAGCAGTGGAAGTTCCTGGGCATCCATCAGACAGGAGGGGACAGGAGAGTAGGAGCCAAACCAGTTGAGGCCTTTGAGCAGTGATTCAGATTTGGGTGTTTATTTGAGGAGCATGGCTGACTGCTAGGGGATGCTTATGCAGGCTGGCGAGGTCAGTGTGGTCTTAGAGGGGCCACTCTGGAGTGGTGTCAAGTACAGTTGGACGGCCTGGCTAGGACACAGCTGTGGTGGGTCAGGGGAAAGGGTTGTGGATGTGGAGGTTCTGGGGAAGTTTAGGAGCTGAAACTGATGGGACTCTGTGAAAGGGAGGAGGTGGCAAGGGATGCAGTTGCTCCTGGGTGTGCGGGGTCATGCGTCAGTGCTGTCACCTTGAAGAAGTGACTCTTAAGTTGGAAACTCCTTGATACCTACTCTGCTTTTATGGCAGAGAGAGTCGTTCAAAGCATTCTGGGTACCCAGGTCCCAAGGGTGCGGCCTGCAGAGGAATGTCCTGACCGTTGTGCAGTTTCCTGAGCCTTGTCCTTCAGCTGGAGTTTGTGGTGTGGCGTTTGGATAGCCAAAGAGCCAAAAGCACTGGAACAGGGGTGATGGGAAAAGTGAGGGGCTCGGTGTAAAAGAAAGGCCATTTAGAACTACTCACAATTCTAAATTCTGATGAAGGTGAATTAGATGCATTTTTATTTTAAATGAAACTCAATAGTCTTATAATTTTACAATTGAGTCTATCCAGATGGATTCCTGGGTGATTTGAGCATGTGCCAAATGCTCTGAAAATCTCTCCAAGTACGTATAAGAGGGGGAAAAACAGATGGTTTTAACTTTGTCAGTAGGGCTGGTTACAAACGAAACTGAAAGTTTATTGTTCTCTAATCAGGCCTTGGTGTCTGATTAATGATGCTGCTTCCTGGGGGACAGGTTAGATTTAGACACAGTTGATTTCCGGAGAGTGCAGACGGTCATTTTTATATTAGAATAATTTACAAAAAGAAATGCCAATGCCTGTCCTTTTTAAAAAATAATTATATAATTCCAGTTGCTTTTGTCCTAGCCATGTGAACATACGTTTTTCAGGGGTATAATGGTAGAATTAGGGATATCTAAGAAACTCACTCTGAAAAGTGTTGTGAATAATTCTAATTATATGAGATATTTTGGTGAAATATGCCAGATGACCTTTCATTTATTCTTTTGAATATAATATAAGAAACACACATGGAGGAAAATGGGGGAAGGGCTGTCAAAGAACATGTATGAAGGGCACATGGACAAAACCAAAGGCATGTAGAATCGAGGGTGGGAGGTGGGGATGGGTCAGAGGGACGGCAGTGGGGGGGATGGAGACAACTCTACTTGAGCAGCAATTTAAGAAAGCCAAATACACTGGCCCCAGGAAGTGGGGGGCTATTTAAATATAATCAGTGGATGAAGAAAAATGATACTCTTAATATTTTTAAAAATATATGTGAAGGTGAGTTTTCCCATGATGACTAGAACTGGACAGGTCAGCCCGGAGCCCCGTCAGGGTGAGCAAGTGCCCTGAGGGGCCTGCATAGGCTCCCCAGGACCCTGTGGGTGGGGCCTCAGGTGGTGCCCTGGCTGTGCAGACAGTTCGCTGTGTTGGCACCTCCTGCTCCCTTCCTGTCTGGGTTCTGACCGCCTGCTGTGTCACTGGCCCGGCTGTTGCTCACCTGGTGTGTTCTGGCCCCTGCAGTCTACCCTGATGGCAGAGTCTGCATTTCCATCCTCCACGCGCCGGGCGACGATCCCATGGGCTACGAGAGCAGCGCTGAGAGGTGGAGCCCGGTGCAGAGCGTGGAGAAGATCCTCCTGTCGGTGGTGAGCATGCTGGCAGGTGAGTGCGAGGCCTTGGTTGGCTCTGGCAGCTTTTCACTCGTCATAGGAGCCAGACAGCTTGACGGCTGTGCCTCCTTCCTTGTGTTGTCCTTGTCCTCATTATTCACTTTTACTGTGTGTGATGCTTTCTGTAATTTTGAACTTCAGGAATGGCCTCGTGCGGTGCAGGCTGTATTGTGTAGACCAGCAGTGTGTGCGTGTCATGGTGCAGACCAGGCGTAGCCATGCTGTGACCGTGGGCGTCCCCTTTATTTCAGCCATTCATCGGGGGCCTGCTGTGTTGCTGCAGACACTGTGCTAGGGGTGTGAAGCCCAGTATGAAGTGTGGACCCCAGCTTTAAGGCCCCGCTTTCTAAGGAAATGTTCCAGATTCACCAGCCATGGCAGGCCACCCTGATAAATCCTGTGGTCATGACACACCTGGGGCTCCCAGGTCAGGTCCCAAGCTGGGACCATGTGGGATCAGCTTAGGACACTTAGGAGTTTGTAAGGTGAGGGAGAGGGAGAGGCCACTGACTCTGGCAGGGGCACTGCCAGGACCCCTTATGGCTGGAACCCAGCTGGGGCAGGGAGCCCTGCAGTGGTGCACTCCCTCAGGGCCGGTCCCCCACAGATGTCAGATCATGTGTGCTGACACTTCAGAAGAAGGTCCTATGGCTTCGGGGCCAACTTTGAGGAGAGATGGTCAGGCGTGGCTGTGGTTACAGTGGGGCATGATGTCCTGGGGCCTAGGAACTAGGGGTGGGAGACACAGGCTGTGGAACTCGGGCTCACTAGGGGGTGGGTGACCCAAGTGCCTGAGCAAAAGGGAGCAGGATTTGGGGAAGGGATCAGTTTGGGCTGTGACTATCTACCCTCCTCCAGGGCCTGCCCGGAAGCTACTCAGCCGAGGGTGGGTTGTGGAAGCGAGGGTGTGGAATCACCTGTGGGTAAGACAGTGGGTGACGGGTAGTACAAAGGGGATGGCAAAGGGCATGTGGAAGGAGAGGGTCCTCAGAGGAGCATGGGTGGAGCGCTGTGGAAAAGCCAGAGGAGATAGAGGCTTGCCACAAGGTGAACGTGGACAGTGCTGCAGAAGGCCCCCCTGGGTGGGGGTGGGGGAACACCCAGCTGCAGGCCAGCCTGAGTGGCCCTGGGTTTAGGCCGTGGAGGTCCGGGATGCCGTGAGGTCTGAGATTTCGGTGTGTGCATGGTTTGAGCTGGAAGCACTCCCCATTCGTCCACCGAGTGGTCAGAATCAGGAGAAGGGGTCTGAAGACGGGAGGGAGGCAGAGACTTGGCTGTCTTCATATGTAAATTTTAATGTAGTCTTTATACACTCCTCTCGGAATACCAGTCCTCTGCTCCAAGTGGCTTTTCCAGCTCTGTCACTATGTTCAGGCTGGCCAGGCCACCTCCCCCGTGTGGCTGTGTGTGCCCTCTGGGGCTGCCCTAGGGCCACTGCATGCCCTTGGGGCCATGGGGTTCCCTCAGTTGGAGGCTCTGCCTGTGCTTGGGTGTTCCTGCAGCCTGGCCCAGTCGGGAGTCCCTTAAGTGCCACATTCTCCAGGAGGCCAGTGCACCCCCAGTCATTCTACCTGCTGCTGTCCCGTTCTCCCTTCTGTAGCACTTAGTTTGAAATGAGGCATTTGTGGGTCGGCTAGGTGGTGCCTCTCTGAGGGCGCAGGTCGTGGGGTTGGCTGCGTAGCCAGTGCCCAGAATGAGGCCTTGCACTCGTGACCTGGTGAGGAGGGGCGTGTGAGTAAATGGAAAGAGGGGAAACACGCCTATTGGCTGGGTTGGTGCAGCTTAGGGCAGGAGGGCTGGAGGGGGAGGGTGCGGCCCAGGGCTGGACCCGAGGCTGATCTCACGGCTGTGCTTGCTGCCCTCTAGACAGCCTTCTCTGTTCTGATCTAGCCGCTTCTCAGTTCTGACCACCAGCACCGGGCTCACTGCCTGTTCGTCTGTGACTGATGACTGACCGTTCTCCTGTCCGGTTCCCACAGGCTCCGGCTGCCTCTCTGTGTGTCTCTGGATTCCACCCTGGAGCCACTACTGGCCCTGTCTGGCCAACACAGGGACTAGCTGCCCTGGGGTCAGGTGTCCACATGGGCCCAACGCCCATGAGCGTGGAGGCAGCTGCACTGACAAGGGCTCTGAGAGAGATGTGATCTGCACAGGGCGCTTCCAGGGACCAAGCAGGCTGGTGGCTTGTCTGTGGCTTGCTCTCTGGGTGCCCAGAGTGAGGTGGATGACTTCTGCGGGCAATTTTATACTCTTAGAAGGAAGGAGTCATGAGAGTAGATTTCACCCCAAGAGGTATCTTTCCACTGAGGTCACACTGCTGCTCAGTCTCGGGGCTCTCGTGTGCTTCTCAAAGAGCAGATTCAGCTGTCAGCATCTTTACTTATTTCTGGGACACATCTCTGGAAAGATCCATCAGTGGTTTTGGATGAAATGAAGATCTTGCCCGTTGAGACCTTACTTTAACAGCCTCTTTCAGGTGGGCAATGTCTGCCTTCTCTTTCAGAGCCCAATGACGAAAGTGGAGCTAATGTGGATGCCTCCAAAATGTGGCGGGATGACCGGGAGCAGTTTTACAAGATCGCCAAGCAGATCGTGCAGAAGTCTCTGGGGCTCTAGGGCCCCACCCATGTGTGTGTGCACGTGCCACCGAGCAGTCTCCAGTGTTTCTCCTCCAGGACACTTAGTGACAGTGACACTCTGTGCTGGTACCAAAAAAGGCAAGCTTGCAGAACCGCAGCTCTGGTCTTCTTTGCCACCTCTCCCACCCCAAACAGGCTTCTCTTCTGAAATTACAACTTCTGTAGAATAATGACAATTGAATGCAGCTTTAGAGCGTTCCGGCAAGGTGATTCAGGCAGATTGTCAGGCCGGCACCACTACCTCTCTCAGCTGGGCGCTTGTGCACCGCACAGTTACAGCTTCCCGCCCCTCCCGAGGGCTGGGGAGGATGCGTGTTAGCCTTCCGGGGACCGGAACCAGTAATGCTCCCTCCGAAGGACTGGGGCCTAGTGCCGAGGCAGAGGCCAGGCAGGCGCCCCTGCAGGTCCCCCCGGCTCCCCGTGCACCCCAGGAGCAGTGTGCTGCTGCTGCAGTGTGGTCTCTTACCATGGTCTCTTACCAGCAGGTGTTTTTCTTACGACCCAGTCCCATCTTCTTCATTTGTTACGCATTTCCAACCTACCACAGTTAGAAATACTTCCAGGAAATAGACTTTTCAATTGTGGACTGATGAACAGTGGGCATGTGCAGAAGCTCGCTGCTAACCACACAGACCAGTGGTCTTTCCCGGTCACATTTATCAAAGAACACAGCCGTGTCTCAGTTACCAATTCAGGAAAAATGTGGGACTGAAAGGTTTAGTCACAGTTTCTTCTGGAACTACAGGAGTTTGTCTTTCCCATTCTCAAAACTGGGGTGTTACAGGCTTTTGGACATGCTTGGTCTCAGCAGGAACTGTTAACTACTAGGGCAGAATTGTTCTTTGCAACTTGGAGTTGGCAGGGATCCATTGTTAGTGCAGTGCAGAGGCGTGCCTTACCTCCAAACTCGACCGGCGCCCGTGGAAGTGTGGCACGCCAGGCCCTCGCCCTGTGGGCACAAACCACGTGCTTGTGGTTTGTGGTTTTGATGCGGTCGGCCTTCAATGTAGGCGGCTCAGCAGCGTGATGCCGGGGTCCACTATGAGCAATAACAGATTTGTTGCATGCAGAATCACACATTCGGCCTGCTTCAAACAGGTTACATTTAAATAGGATTTATATTTTTGAAATAAGGGACAGCCTCCAAGACATAGAATAGATTTTACTGTAATTTCTCCTCCCCTTTCACGTTGTGTCTGGCGGACGGGCGTGGCTTCTGCTGTGCTGCCACCTCACGTGATGTCTTGGGTTGGCGAGTTCTGGCTGAAGGGTTCCGTATTGGGCCTCGGTGGAAACCAGGGTCTCTCCTTCTCAGAGGGCATCTTTTAAGGTTGGGAATTCAGTACAGGACCTGCTTTTGGAAGGGGAGGAAAGGAGACATATTCACCTAAGCCGTATTTGCAGGCCCATTTATAGGAGGCAGAGCCCTCTCCACGGAGAGGAAAAGCAGTGGGGACGTGGTGTGTGGACACGGCAGGAGCGTGGGCATTGCAGCCACATCAATAGTGGCCACGGGGGCTTCCATGAAATCTGGAGGAAGAAGGGAGGCGGTCTTTTGCAAAACAAAGTATTTTTATTAGTTTGTATTTATTAAATGGAAAAGAGAGAATCCCCTGGTTAAAAATAAAGTTATATATTTTTCCCCATTCTGCACTGTATTTTTCTTCATCACACTATTATATAATTGTATGGAGACCTATGTGGAATGTGCCAGAAGCCCCTCAGTGGGGCTTCCCTCCTGCGGGCAGTGTGCCCAGACTGTTGAGAGGTCAGTTCATCCTGAAGGCCTACGTGAGTGTTGCAGGGTTCATTCTCTTTGGTTCCTTTCTCCATTCTCCGTGTCTTCCTTCTGGAATTCTCAGGTTCCAAGCCAGGGTCTGCAACAGCACTCAGGGCTGTGAACCTGGGCAGAGGAGATGTCCGTGTTTCCAGCCTCTTACTGTGGACACGGGCTGCAAAGCTCAGTTGTTCGAGGGGGAAGCAGCAGGAAGCCAAGATTCTTGGGTTCTTCCCTGGACTCCAAGTCACAGTCTCTGTCAGACCTGCCTCCGAAGCTCCTTACTCGGTGTGTGAAGAAGTGAAGAGGCGTCGGCTCTGCTGGCCTGCGGTGCTGTTGTTGACTGTCACGGTTGTCTTTTCTCAGTCATCCCCAGACTTCCCTGGAGCCATAACTGCCCTTCTTTCCTGCCCCAGGCCCTACGCCACCTTCTTTTGAGGGGCTTTCACTGTTCCATTTAATGTCTGAGATCTCTGACATGATTGGAATTGGGCTGCCAAAACCACCACCCCAGGTTTGGTGATTTGCTGAGCTCAGCCATGATACGGGATGGTGAAAGGATTCGGTGCCCAGTCGGCACAGGGAAAAGCCACGTGGTTGGGAGTTGGGACACCAGGCACAGCCACCATTCAGAACCTGTCCTTGTGGAATTGTGCAGGACACACTTAACTGCTCAGCCAGGAGTGGAAGATGTCCACCAGGGAGCTCGTCAGAGACCAGAGGCCAGGGCTCTTACTGGGGCTGGGCATGTGGCACCTCTGCCCAGCACATCCCCAAAACTCCAGACCCCCAGAGGGAGACAGGTGTTAGCATGGCCATGGTGTCTGCACAGATGGTTTAGGCCCAGTGCGACACCCGCGTCACACATACTGAGAGCCCTCCCAAAGTCCCTGTTCCCAGATGCTGGCCCAGGGCCAGCTTGGGGCAGGCAGAAGAGGCTCGCTGGCTGGCCCTGCTGAGCACTCAGGCCCAGGGTCTGGTGCCTTGGGCAAGTCCCAGGAGGTCTGGTTGCAGGGAAGGTACCCACGTGGACCTATACTACATACCCCCTTCAACACAAGGAATGGGGTTCTGGGCTGAGCTGTGGCCCGGGGCCTAGTATTACAGCCCCCCAAGTACCTTCAGGTCAAGCTCTCCCACTTCCAGCGCTGGGACAGCACTTCCTCAGAGGCCAGTCTCACCATGAATGCAGAACCCTGGCCCAACAGCACCTTCAAGATCCCCTGCCACCCAGGCCCCTACAGCATCAAGCCCTGGGTCCTATGTGTGAACCACCCCATGCCCACCACCTCCCCACTCAACTGAAACCCAGCTCTGACAGAGCTGGCCTCAACCCAGGCACACAGAGCCTGCTCTTCTGTACTCCACAACGTGAGGTGTGCCACCCGCCTCTCAAGCCCATCTGCCTTGGCCACCCACACCTGTTACCCTGAGCCTCAGGAACCTTGGTTTTAGGGGTGGCTTGGACATTTGCCGAGGCTTCCACTCCACTTGGCACCTGCGCAGGCTGCTCTGGGTGCACAGATGCCTGCAGGTGCTCACAGGTGTTCTGCCCAGGAAAGCTGGGCATGGCTGTACAGATGCATCCGCAGCAGTGTGGGGCTGGCAGCCACTCAGCTGTGCAGGGTTCCTGGCCCTGCCTGGTTGGAGCACTGCTCACTGTTGAGTGGCTCAGGTGTCTGGTCAAGGGGTCGTGCTCTGGGTCCAGAATTCCCCCGATGGCCGCACAGGCAAGAACCAAGGCCCTGGCTTTGGGGGTGAGAGACGTGGGCTTCGGCCTTCACGCGCTTGTCTGTGAACCAGACTCGCTGTGAGGTGGGCTGCTGCCTGGCTGCCCGAGGCCCGTCCTATACAGCTGGGGCCTGGGTTCCTCTCTGCCCAGGGGCCTGCCTGGCAGCTCTGGCTTCTTCACCTCCTGTTTCTGCCACGGGCCCTCAGTGATACTCTCACCCTTTTACCAGTCACCAGCCACCACGAGACTTGCCAGCCCCAGCTACTGCTGGCAAAGCCTGGGGCAGGGGCAGGGGCAGGGGTGGGCCTTTCGGAAGCAGGACCAGAGCTCGAATCCTGCAGAGTACAGGTGGCAGGTGCTCAGAGCTTGCCTCTGCGGCCCCCACAGCTCAGACCCAGCTAGTATGTGTGACTGTGCTGAGGGCACTGACCTCACGTATCTGCCACACTCCCGACTCCAGGGAAATGGTGGTGACAAAGTTCTTTTCAAGTTGTGTGTGTGTGCACTGCGTGTGCAGGTTTACCTGCCTGGCAGAGGACCTGACGTTGGCCCAGATGCAGGGGAAACCAGGGACTGAGGGATTGTCTCGCTAATGGCTCTTTGAAATCCTGGATAATACACTAAATGAGTTGGAACCACATGAAACAGTTGCAGCTTCAGGGCAGAGCAGGCTGGGGGTTCTCACGGGTTTCTCCCTCTTGGACCAGTTCCCACCCACTGGAGTGGCTAAGCTGGAATGAGGCAGCAGCAAAGTCCCACCCACCAGACCTCCGGGCGCCACCTCGCCCAGCATGACCCCTCCTTCTCAAAGACCTGTGCCCTCATTCACACGTGTGCATGTGCACAAGCGTTACACACACCACCACTCAGGGCAAGAAGCCCTGTGGCTTTGGGCTGGCCTGGGCCTGGCCACTGGTTGTTGCCTGATGCCCATTTTCCCATCAGTGGAGTCCTAGGAGGCTGTGGGCACCTGCGGTCTGGCCCTGTGGTGCGGGATAGGGCTTGGCTTTCCACCGCTCACAGCTGCAAATCCCTGGGCACAGCCTGAGACTCTGCCGGGCTAGCAGGTCCTGGAAGGGACAGATGGACGCTTAACAGGGTGCTTGGAGTTTGTGGGCAGAGCGTGGGCAGGTTTTGGGGGACCTGGACTGCAGGGACAAGGGTGGAAGAGTATTCCAGACCTGCTGACCTGGAGCTGAGAAGGGGAGCTCCTATTGGGTGACAGGCGATGGCTGCATGGGAGGGACCAGCCCCCACATTTCTGAGCCCCCTCATTTCTGTCTGTCTGCTGAGGCTACTCCCCCATCAGTCCTCCCCTTTCCCTCCTTCTGTTCCCGGAGCTCGTCGGCCACACCTGCTCTGCATCCTCTGCGGGCCCCATGGACGCGTGTACCTTCCCAGGGCTGTTACGGGTCCTTTTCCCCTCCTCCCCCGACCTCCGATCTCTGCTGAACTTGGCTGCTGAGGCCTCAGAGACCCTTGGTTCCTGTCTTCCTCTGAGGAGTGTTGAGTTTTGATCTAATTGGCCCCAAATTTGTGTGAGTTTGGTTTTACGCTTTGTTGCGCAGGCTCTGAGGCGTGTCCTAGGTGTTTCCCAAAAGCTCCTGCAACTCGGCTGACTCCACAGGCAGCAACGCGCCCCTGCCACTGTCAGGGCTTTATGCTGGGCTTTTCGGGGGTGGGTGTCTCGCATGGGCCTCACTTAAGGATGTTGTCCCCACTACCAGGCATGACCTTCCTGATGTCCCAGGCATGGCCTCCCTGGTGTCTCAGCTGGATGCCTGGAGGCTGAGTGAGGGCCGAGGTGCTCTTTCCACGCTGCTGGGCTGGCACTGCTCAGCTTTTCAGTGCCTGTGCCCCTTGGCAATGCCCTCACGCTCATGCTGGTCGGTGCCAGACAGTCCTCAGCCAAGGACTTGAGGGCCCTGCACCCGGGGGCCATCTCTGTGTGGCTTCTCTCCAGTGCACTCCCTGCACGTTCCCCTCCGAGCTCTACCTGCCGTGCTTTGCCTGGAGCCCAGCTCTTTGCTGCAGGGGAAACTGTGCCCAGGGAGGGATCTGTGGCTCCCGCAGCCTGCTGCTCCCTTCCCTGGGGTCACAGTCTCGCACGAGTCCTCACCCACTGCCTGGAGGCAGGTCTCTGTGGTCTGTCCAGTGTGGTGTTGATTTAGGGCAGAAGTGCTGCTCAGGGCCAGTTGCCATCGTGGCTGCGGTGGGGCTGAGGCAGGTGATTACCACCTGTGCTTCGTACTGGTCCCCTCGTTACAGCCAACGTGTGCTGCTTTTATAATTTGAGTAACATGAAGATTAAATCGTTGGTGAAGTTGGTACTTGCCCTGTGCCGGTGGTCTCTGAGCGGTTTCTGGCTGTTCACTGGCCCTCCAAGGAGGTAAGGAGGTGAAGCAAAGGTATTTGGTCATTTATCCTCCAGACCACTGCAGTGACAAGTCCCGACTGGGGAGGGACATGGAAAGAGAGCAGTTTGTTTGATGCCATGCATCAGCCTTCACAGACAGCCTTTGCTGTGACTTCCCGCTGCCTTTGGCTTTAGACCCGCCTCTGTATGAATGGCCCTCCGTTTGGGCCTCACACGGGCCTCGTCGGGCCCGTTCAAAGCCACATGAACTAGAACCCTGACACTCGAGGCTGCTATGCAGGGGTGCCTGGCCTCACTGACCAGGGGTTGTGGTCAGTGGACTTTGGGCAGGAGGGTGCCCTGCTGGGAGGCACAGTCCCTCAGGAGCAGGGCAGGGTTTACAGCCATACCTCTGGCATGGTGTTCGAGGGAGAGAGTGGAGTTCGCAGGGGCACAGGGGCAGCCACAGGGCAGCAGGGGTCCCCCCAGCTTCTAGAGTATTCCAGGTTGATGCATGGGAAGAGTTTGGAGGGAGTGCCAGCATGGCCAGTGATCTCTGACTGTGGCCGTGCTGGCCCCGTGCCCGCTGGAGCTGGGGGCAGGCCCCTTATTGCTCTGGTTGGCTGGGGAGCCAAACAGTTCTGCCGGCAACTATGAGCCAAGTGATGGCTGAGCCTTAGGTGGCCCAGAGGGCTCCAACTGAGGCAGGGGTCAGAGCGGCTGGAGTCTCAATGGAGGGAGCCAGCGAGGGTGCCAGGGTGGCCTAGGAAGCAGCGTCTGT